TGGTATATAAAAGAGGGTGACAACGTGACGGGATAATAATGTGTGTGTAAATAGTGAGTAATTGAACTGCAGTCACAGGGTATTGTTGAAGTTAACGTTCGTTCGTTATAGTGTTTGTTTTAGCGCGAATATTGAAATCAAGTGTATCGTAAAGTTGTATTCGGAAAGAATAAACCAGTTTTATTAAGTAAGGACTTGTGTCGCTAAAGTTTCGTCGGAACGAAGTTACCGAAAGTTAATTCACAAACGGAGACGTAACAATACGATATACACAAGCCATGTATAAATATATTCAAATAGACATGCATAGTTTAGTTCAATTGAATGTGTTATTTATAACAATAGTAGTTTTTTTTTCTTTTTAAAACATAACTACTTATAATGCTCCCTAAAGAATAAATAAATAAATTACAGCGAAAGCAATGAAGATTTTGTAGGTTTTGAACCAAACTAAATAACAGTAAACTTTTTTTGATTTACGGTATTTTCTTATTTTGATGTTTTGAGCTCTTATGTGTTTAGAACAATATATACTAATTTTTAAAGTATCAACTTGAATTTTTGTTCAATAAAAATATTTCAAATGCGACTGTAGCTTTTTTTCCCCAAAACTTTGTCTTCAAAATAAGGGTACGTCTTATACACCGGTGCATCTTATATTCTGAAAAATACGGTACATATGATATTATCTATCATATTGTACAGAAAAGTTCTTCAATTAGAAATATTTCAATATTTTTTCATTCCTTATGAAAATATTCAACAATGTTTCCACTTAAGATTCTTTTAATCCAACGTCGTGCATAAAAATCCTTGAAAATCAACTAGCAATCCTGAAATAAGTGCTGAAGCTATTATGATTTATTCAAACACTTTTTGTATAAATTTCCAGTATTTTCCCTGTTTTGTTGCTAGTAAAATCTATTTGGTTAATTTTTATAATCAAATATAAAAATATGAATTAAATAAACTGATAAAATTACAAAGTAACATAAGCTAAATAGCTAGTTAAATCATAAATACTACAGTCAGATAATTTTATTGATCATATACGCAGAAAACCTAGTTTTACTTTGCATTAAAACAAAAGTTTCAATAAAATTGTATTTATTCATAAAGACAAAATAACAACATATTTTCTATGTGTAAGAAAAATTCACAAAAGATCGTTCACTTGCAGTTAATAATTCCAACTATGATCATATACGCTACCAAGGAATCTTATTTTTTATTTAATACTTATATATCTATAATATATGATAATATTGAAGGAACTGCAATGTGAACAAGACTAGTGCCTCCAAGTGGCTCAGCGTTACGTCTGAAAGCTTATAGCACTAAAAACCGGGTTGATACTAGTGGGGGACACAGAATAGATAGCCGATTGTGTAGCTTTGTGTTTAACAACAAACAAACAAAGGTTAGAATCATCACTTGCCAATTTGTTTCTTTGTCCTTAGGAAAAACAGTGGTTGGAAAAAAGTCCATTCAGCATCAAGTCTATATAATACCGATATATGTTGACGTTACTTTTGTTATCTTTAGTGATTCCCAACATGTATATTAGTTTTTACAATAACTTAATAATCAATATAAAAACATGGGATTTACCGTGCTTTTAACTAGAATTACATTTGGTGAAGCCAAAATAGGGATTTGTAGTTTGAGTAAATAATGTCTAAAGTATCTCCAGCCTTGTTTGCTTACTTTTGTTTACGATCCCTATTTGCAGGTTTTTAAATTACAAATTTTATATTTATTTTGTTTGATGGCTTTTTTATGCTCAATTATAGGCAAAGGATTATTTGATATGGCAATAAGCATAACTAGTAGCTAGCTGCCACGGTTCATGATGATTTACTGTAGCTATTGACTATTTGATCGCATTAGTTATAAATGTAAATTGTTAAGCTGCAGCTGTAGATTGTCATGGTGATTTGTTTGAGAATATAGTGAGCATTAATAGTTTCTATTTAATTAAATTATATATATATAATGCAAAGCACTGGGCAAATATATGCCTAGACTGAGAAACAACACCCATTAAACGCGTATAAAATTTAACCAGCAGAAAAGCAGCCTTTTCAAATAAAACATATAGTCTAAACATCGCTTTGAATAAATCTTCGTGTCTTTTAAAGTAATTATTCAGCGAATTTCTGTAATAAAATTTAATATTATGTGTATTGTTATTTTTTACTGCTTCATTTCATACATAATATAGTGATTGTCTCCCTAAAGACACCGTTTGTGTAGTGTACGAAGCATTCAGTACACATATGTTACAGTCATATAATGTT